ATTGTATGTGAGTCAACCTTTTCCACAATTCGCGATTTTTTTCATCCGTTAAGGTATTCAAAGTCGGCGATGTTTATTCACCTGGGGATTTAGTTCACTTAAACAAATCGCCATAGTAAAGATTTTGAATAATACAGGAGAATGTACATTATACATAAACATTCTACACTGTGATGTGGCAAGTCTGAAAATGCCGTAGATTTCGAGAAATCAATCTCCATGTGCGAATAGCCAGCGGCACTCGAACCTGATTATAGTCTGGCCAAAAAGAGGTCAACCAAGGCTCCAGTCAAGCGCCGCAATTATCAGCCCAGAAATAAGCACAGGAGCGAAACATATTTCTAGAGCAATTTCATGATCAGAACCGTTACGTGCGAGGGCAGTTCACCAAGAAGAATTCGATTTATAGCTAATGTCGATTTTTACCAAAAGAACCCCGATTTAGCCAAAGTTTAATGGCTAAAGATTTGCTAGCCAAAGTTACAGATTCTGTGAACGTTAGTACTGCATTATTTGTTGGCACAATTAGGGCTTATGGTGACGTTTTCAACGAGAAGTTTTAACAGACCGGAGTGCATGTGAGGCTGTAGGACGTATGCCTAGCGGCGAATTTCCATCGGCCATAGAAGGCGAACGGTCACACTATGCTGCTTACGCAAGAGTTTCGAACTTATCCTCCTTCACTGAGCGATAACATTTACGTTCTCAGGACCATACAGTTCTGTATTTATAAGATATTCCTATTTATGAATTTGATAAAAGCTCGTGACCGGCTTTTCATATAGCTTATAATGATAGACATAGTGAAGAACAGCCTGGCCTCCTCGGGAAGTGACTCAAGACAAGGCTGGTCAACAAGTGTTGCAAGGGGTACGTCTGTATGTATATCGGGTTCAGAGTTCATGTGATTGTTCCCATCGCTCAAAATAAGTTGGAGTAAGTAAAGTGAGTGTCATGAGCACAATTTTATAGCTTTGTATAGCCTGAATGTGTGCTTGTTTACTCGCTAGAGGATTTCGAGCATCTCTTGGTCGCAGATTTATATTTCTACCCTTAACACAAGTGCCTCTCAGTTATAGTAGGGCGGGTGCGTGGCATGCCCATCTGTATCACTGGAAGCACAGCATATTCAAACGATGAAGATGCTGCATCGAGCGCTGAAAATGGGATACGGGAGCTGGAATGTGAAGGAGTGTTGGCTTGCCGGTATATTCTTCAAATAATCACTGACATTAAGCCAACTAGAACCAAACAACAATAAGCATTCAGACAAGAGCTGGCTCAATAAATCCCACGAAGTACTGGCAAACTGATGAGCACCACCTTGCCCGCAAGCTCCCATCTACCACACGAGGCTGTTACTACCCGAAACTTACTGCCTATGGTCAGTGCGAAAGCGCAAAGCGGATGGGCAAGTGTCCAGTACTAAATAGAACAGACTTTACTGAATCCGTGGATCATTTCGGCCGGGTCTTCAGACGACCCATAAAATAATATGACGTCCACCACTGATTTGTGTTAAGATCTGGTGCCAGATATGGTCACCCGGAGTGAAACCGCTAGCGGCGGTGTCGCATCAGAATTCAACCTCCTATTCCGGAACACGGCTTCCTTCAAAGATGCCGTCCTGCAGTTTGCACATGAAAGCAACTGCGATGGGAGCAAGCGGAAGACAATGCTAACAAATTTTTAAAAGGCAAATATACCCAGTTAGCACCGGTGCAGAAATTTCTGCAGAATGTCTGCACCCGGGTGCGGACATTTCCGCACAAGTTCCGCAGATTTCTGCACCCGGGTGCGGAACCAGTGCGGAAATGAAACAAGTTTCCGCACAATATCCGCACCCGGGTGCGGAAATTTCCGCACAATATCCGCACACTTC